CAGTGAATTAGCTGCACTTTGGGGCCACAACCACCTTTTGTTTCCTTTTTATACAGTACCTGGCCCTGCCAGCTCGGTTCAGGAGGTGTTTGATTACACAGCTAATAAATAAACAAGGACCTTGATCCTCTTCAGCATCTGGCTGTCCAAGGCTGCAATTTCCAGGGAAACTGCTTCAGGCTGTGCTTGATGCTATTAGTGAGTCAAATGTGTTTGGGAGATGAGATGAGATGTTCCCAGGACAAGGAGAAGGCACTGCTAAACCAGCCCCACCTGCAGCAGGGAGTGGAAAACCCAAACTGGTTGAATGTGCAATCCCATAAGCCACACTCTGTGCTGGGCACACCCTGAACACAGCCACAGAGCTGCTGCTGCTTGCAGAAGGAAGGTGGGGAGATGAGCACTTCAAGGCAACTCCTGCTACAGCATCTCCCTCACACAGGGGGTTTGAACAAGGGCTTTTCCTCCTGAAGGCCACCCAGTCCTGCTCCACCTTCCATAAATTGCATTGACTGCCCTGATGTCCCTCCAACATCACCCACGCACTCCTCCCCTCCCTCCCACACTTACTCAGTCACAGAACGCTCTGCTGGATTAAAAAGGCCTCAAAACCCCTGCCCCAGGAGCAGCCTGACTCCTCCATCCCCATCAGGCTCTGATTCCACCCTGGTTTGAGGCACAGACGATGGGGACACAGCTCGAGGAGGGATGCAGCTGCTCACAGCTGCTGGGAGCATCTCCCCTCCCAAAAATCTCCCTTTTCCTCCATCTCAGACCCCTTCAGATGTTCTCTGTTCCTGCTGGGAGCATCTCCCCTCCCAAAAATCCCCCTTTTCCTCCATCTCAGACCCCTTCAGCACCTGAGATGTTCTGTGTTCCTGCTGGGAGAATCTCCCCTCCCAAAAATCCCCCTTTTCCTCCGTCTCAGACCCCCTCAGCACCTGAGATGTTCTCTGTTCCCTTTGACTCAGAAATGTCATTATCTAGATTACAAAGAAGCAAAAAAAAAACAACCCACAAAAAAAACCCCTGGAAATAAATCCCAAGAGGACATTAATTAGGAGTCACAACTCCCCAGCTCTGGAAGCACTGAGGAGGAGAGATATTTCAACTCCCAACCTGACGGAGTAACTTTGAATTATCTTTCATCTTCCCCTGCATCAGATGTAATCTAATGACATTAACTTGGCTTCACTCTAGCGAAAGTGGCATTGGTGCTACAGAGGCAGGGAGATTAAAACATATGAAATAAATGTTCCTGGGCTGAGTGACAGTATAATGGCATTCCAACAGGCAGCTCAATCAGTGCAGACTAACAAAAGATCAGAGGGAAAGAGCCACGTTTGCAGTATCACCCTCAAACACAGATATTTCCTTTTAATCCAGGGGTTTTTTTTTACATGCCTGGCTCAGCCCCTGTTCCTGGGAGTTTTCCCCAGGCTGTGCAGCCATTTTGGGGTGGGGGCTGGCAGTTGAACTCTATTAAAGCCCGTGCTCACCTGCTACTGAACCCTGCTGGCTCAATAGCCTTGTTCAGGGCTGCGGCAGCAAGCTCAGCACTGAAGTCAATGCCAGCATTGTGGGCTGCCCCCTCCCTCCCTTTGTGCACGAGGGGACTCCAACCCAAACCAGAAAAAGCTCCTTTGGGCACACAGCTGCCCTTGATGTCCAACCCACACACGGAGGTGTCACACTCACCAAAGGAAATCCCACAGATGGTTTTTACAGAGTCAGCCTCTCCAGGGGACCAGGGGCTGCGCTGTTGCTCCGTTCCTTTCCTGGGTGACGTTTCCACGCACCCCAGCGGGTGACCTGCATGGCACCAAACCCTCGTCGCAGGCAACTTTTATAAAAAATCCTTTTATAAAAAAATCCTTTTATAAAAAATCCTTTCCTTGGGATTGTTTCCTCCTGAGAAGCTGAGAGGCCTCAGGAACAAAGTGTAACCAATGGTTATCTGCTGCTGTGGAATGCAACAGGTGCATCTGGGATTGGCCCATCTTGGATGTTTCTAATTAATGGCCAATCACAGCCCAGCTGGCTTGGACAGAGAGTCTGAGAGAGCTGCCTTGGTTATTCATTCTTTTCTATTCTCAGCCAGCCTTCTGATGAAACCTTTTCTTCTATTCTTTTAGTATAGTTTTAATGTAATATATATCATAAAATAATAAATCAGCCTTGTGAAACATGGAGTCAGATCCTCATCTCCTCCCTCAACATAAGACCCCTGTGAACAGCATGGAAAAGCCTCACAGGTGCACCTGGCTGGCTGCTCCAGGAGCATCTCCCCCTGCTGCAGGCACAGCCCAGCCATTCCCCCTGCTCACAGCAGCTGCTAGGGGAGCAGCTCTTTTATTTCCAGGGAAAATCAGGGCTTCCCTGACGCCCAAAACGCCACGGCCACCTCTGTGTGCCTGTGACAGCTCCACAGGCTGGCTGCCCCTTCAATCTCTGCAACAGCCACCAGCTTTTTGTTCCCTGGGCACTGGCTGCCTTCCTGGGGCACTGAAAACAAACCCAAGTGTTTATACCTTGTAATGACCCTAAACCTGTTTAGTCTGACTGCTGGGAAACAGCAGCACACATGAAACCTAAGCCTCTGATGGCAAAGATAAGGAATGGGGACCTCTGGCAAACATCTGGCCATTTCCCCAGCCCTGAACCCTCATCAAAGAGCACAACAAAGCCTGCAGACAGACAGGTAGGTTTGTAAATGAGTATTTGTGAGTGGTGACCAGCGTGCTGGCACCACGGCTCTGCCATCCTGTGCGAGCAAAGATTACTCATACAAGCAAAGCCAGCAAGATTAGGTCTCAAAGGAATAATCCCACACAAAGAATTCACTGTACCTCAGCCTCCACAGGGCTAATAAAGCAAAAAAAAAAAAAAAAAAAAAAAAAGGAAAGGAAAAAAAAAAGATGAAACTCAACTCAGCACATCAAATACCAGAACAAACAAACTGCAGCAATTAATGGGACAGCTCATGTGCCAACTGCTAAAACATAACGATTACACAAACAGCACACGGGGCAGCACAGCCAGTGAGAAAGAGTTGCAAGATCAAGACCAAACCTCTGGAAAATGATACCCCCAACACCGAGGGCTGCACTATGCCCTAAATGCCTGTGGCTCCTCCTCTGTCTAGGTCTGCACTCGTGGCTCAGGGCTGCTTCCAGAGGCAGGTCTATCCCACTGCCATCTGCTCCTCAAAGCTTCCAGAGCATCTTTGATAAATGAGCTTTTCTGCATATCCACCATAAATTTCAGTAGATGCCACCCCACAGCCATGTGTTTATTTTTCAAAGTCAAGACCTGATTAGAGTTCTTGAGGTTGTTCAGATTCATTTTTAACGTTTCCTTTCTGCCACGGGGTCAGCATGTGGAAATCGGATAAGCACGGACTAAAAATATCATTTTGTAGACAGCTTCAGCCCACACGAAAGGAAATCTTTCCTCTCAAGAGAAGTCACACTTTGCAGGCTGCAGGAACCCAGGGTGTTTCTGACACTGGCAGATACACAAGCAAACTCATCCCTTCCACGTGTTAAGACTTTTACATCAACACTCGGACTGCCAGTACCACCCTACTCCGCATTTCAATACTGTCACCACGAGCTGAGCCAAAATCCTCTTCTCTCTGCTAACAGCCGGGCTTTATGTGAAAGTAAAACAAAACTCCAGGGGTACCCAAATCCTCTCCTGTTTGCTTGTTCATTCAAGAAAGCCACGAACACAGGACACACTTCTGGAGACAGCAGTTTCGCTCTCACCCTAACCAAGCTGCCGGGAAAACGCTCCTCTAACTTTGAAACACACGACAAAAAAAGACCTGAACAACTTCAGGGAGAAGCCTCTTAGCTTTAACATTTACTGGCTCGTTTAACAAAACGTTAATTCATTGCAAGAACCACCCGATCAACTCTTTGTTAGCATTTCAAAGGCAAGGTGAGCATGTGGGGTGACACATGCTGAAAGTGACATTTTTGGTTGGTCACTAGCGGGATACTGAAATATTTCCGTGGGAAATAAGGGGGTTTTGTCCACACTGACTACAGGAAAAGCGGCTTCTGCAGCGCTGGGCTGGGAGCTGCGGGAGGCGATGGGGAGGCAGCCGGGGCTCGGCTGAGACTCAGCGGTCACCCACAGGTTTTGCAAAGAGCTGGGGGAGTGTAAAGATATTGAGAGGCTGTGCTCTTCACGGCAGGGTTTAGCTGTGCCTCAGCATCCCCGTGCAGTCCCCAGGCCAGCGGGGCACCCACCGCTTCTCCCTTTGTGGTGTCACGGACCCCGGGGCAAGCAGCAGAGCCCGGGAGCGCCGGGGACAGGAGGGACCTGGGGCACTCGGGAATGGGGACAGCCCGGAGGGGGATGCGGGGACAGGAGGGTCCTGGGGCACTCAGGAATGGGGAGGGGGATGCGAGGACAGGAGGGTCCTGGGGCACTCAGGAATGGGGAGAGGGATGTGGGGACAGGAGGGACCTGGGGCACTCAGGAATGGGGAGAGAAATGTGGGGACAGGAGGGACCTGGGGCACTCAGGAATGGGGAGAGGGATGTGGGGACAGGAGAGTCCTGGGGCACTCAGGAATGGGGACAACCGGGAAGGGGATGCGGGGACAGGAGGGACCTGGGGCACTCAGGAATGGGGACAACCGGGAAGGGGATGCGGGGACAGGAGGGCTGGAGGATTTGGGAGCAGGCAACAGCCGGGCTGCAGCGGGGAGCGCCGGAGGGACCCCGGGAGCACTGGAGGTCCTGGGGCACTCCGGAATGGGGACAGCTGGCAAAGGAGAGCTGGAGGATTTGGGAGCAGGGACGGAAGAACGGGTGCAGCGAGAGGCTGCGGGGAAGAGGGCTCCGTGAGCGGAGGAATGAGAACGGGGCTGAGGAAAGGCTCGGGAGCGAGGAGCGGCGGCCAGCGGGGGGCACTGGCGGCTCGGCCACCGCTGCATCCCCATTCCCATCCCCATCCCCGTCCCCGTCCCGCCGCCCGTGCCGTACCTGTACCAGGCGAGTCCCCGCTCGTAGTTGCGGTCGAAGAAGTGCGGCTCGGCGCCCACGGCGCGCACGTCGGGGTGCACCCGCAGGAACTCCAGCAGCGCCCGCGTCCCTCCCTTCTTCACTCCGATGATGATGGCCTGCGGCAGCCGCTTGCTGCCCTCGCCCAGCAGCAGGGCCAGGGTGCCGGCCGTGCCCGCCCCGCCGCCCGAGCCCCCGGCCCGGCTCCCGCCGCCCCCCGCCGGCTCCTCCGCGCCCGGTGCCGCCTCCTGCCGCCGCCGCCGCTGCTTCAGCCGCTGCAGGAGCCGCTTGCGCCGCGCCGCCGCCGCCTGCCAGGGGGGCAGCTCGGCCGAGCCGCCCAGGAACTCCCCGCCGCCGCCCTCGTCCTCCTCCGATGCGGCGCCGGCGGCGATGATGGGTCCGGGCAGCGTCTGGCAGCGGTCGGCCAGGCAGTAGAAGACGTAGAGGGACATGAGGAGCGAGCAGAGCATCACCAGGAACTTCTTGAAGATGCTGCGGGGCAGCGGCTCGGCGGCGGCCGCCGCGCTCACGGCCATGCTACCCCGAGAGGGCTGCGGGGAGCCCGGGCCATGCTCCTGCTCCGCGGCCGCCCCGCGGCGCGGCCCCTCCGCGCTGCGCTCCGCGGGGCCGGGGGGCTGCGCGCTGCCGCATCCCCGGCGCCTTCAGGGCGGCATCCCCCGCGGGGGACGGCGGGGCTGGACGGGGGAGCCGCTGCCGCTCCGGAGGGCTCGGCGGGGATGCGGGAACGGGGCTCGACGCGGGGCTCCCACGTGCGGAGCCCGCCGCGGAAAACTTCGGCCGAGGCATCACCGGGAGCGGGGCGGAGCGCTGCCGGCGGCGGGGCCAATGGCGCGGCGGGGGCGGGGGGCGAAGCCAAGCCCGGAGCGGGCGGACCCGCCGGGGAGCCGCTGCTGAGCCCTTTAGGGGGGAGCGGGGGTGTCCGGGAGGCTGTCCCGGGGGATGCGGGGATGCTCCGGGGGATGCTCCGGGGGATGCGGGAAACCCCCAGGGAGGCCGTGCCGGGGGATGCGGGGATGCTCCGGGGGATGCGGGAAACCCCCAGGGAGGCTCTGCCGGGGGATGCGGGGATGCTCCGGGGGATGCGGGAAACCCCCAGGGAGGCTCTGCCGGGGGATGCTCCGGGGGATGCTCCGGGGATGCTCCGGGGGATGCGGGAAACCCCCGGGAGGCTCTGCCGGGGGATGCGTGGGTGGCCCGGAGGCTGTTCAGAGGTACACGGATGCAGGGATGGCCCGGAGGCTGTGCTGGGAGGTGCGGGGATGCCCCAGAAGCTGTCGCGGAGGGTGCAGGGATGCCCTGGGTGGCCCGGAGGCTGTTCAGAGGTACACGGATGCAGGGATGCCCCAGAAGCTGTCGCGGAGGGTACAGGGATGCCCTGAGTCCGTCCCGCGGGGCAGGGAGGAGAGCCGGGAACTCTTTGCTAGTTTTCCTCTCGGTGCTGACAGGGACATCCTGCTGCCCACGGGCAGCCTCTTTTGGCAGCCGAGCCCTGCAGGACTTTTGGCTGTCCGTGCTGTCCACCTGCCTGTCCGGCCACTCAGATTTTTAATTAACGCCCCCGCATCCCTCCGGACCTGAGAACAAATTCCTGATGTGCCCAATAATCCACCCTGACAGACACCAATACCTTTGCACAGTAGAACAGCCCCCCTAAAGCTCAGCAAAGCCACTGAGGGGTGTAAAACACTCTCATGGTATCACAACCAACAGCTCCACTGAGCTCCATGCAGAACACAGCACACAGAAACACCCAAAATCAGACTTTTCCCCCCTAATTTGCACGAGCTGCCCCTGGGCTGGCTGCAGAATCTGGCCCACGGTTGGTAAGAAATATCTACAAAAGCAACACGATATTGCTCTTGGAATTTGCTCTTCTCCTTTGAGAGTACATAAAATGTGGAAATAGCTCTCAGCTCCGTGGCTCGGCTGCCTGATTCTAAGGGCTTCGTTATTTCATTGCCTGTGGGAATGCCCTCTTAATTTGAAATGTTTGTCATAGATTATAGAATTTTCAAACAAACTCGCACATGAAACACTTGACTTAGATCTTTTTTTTTTCCTTCTGTTTGGTGTGGACGTAGCTGAGGACTTAAACTTCAACTGCTTGGAAATAAAGCTGGTGTATCCACAAATTATGCAATGAAAAGAGGGGAGAAAAATTTCACTGAATTATAATCAGCCATCTGCAGAGCTGGCTGGCTAATAAAAATGTGTTTCCAAATAGTAAACAGACCAAAATTAATAACAAATGCTATTTGCAGTGAATTACTCCACTAGATTTTGGTGTGTTTGGTGATTTCAAGATACTGTAGCATTTCAGGTATTTCAGTGCTCCAATATATAAGCAGATTTACAAAATGCTGTAAGCAGGTTAGGCCACCAACACCTCTAGGCAACTTCTTACATCATTAGGAACCTAAATGCCTTTATAAATCTGTGCTCTGATCCAGCTCATTGAAATCAATGAAAAGGCTTTGCTGACATCAATGGGCTTTGGACTGGGCCCTGCAGAAGGGTAAAAGTGATTTCACTTCTTATTATTCTCATTTTGATACTTTTTTCCTGGACACTTAGAACAGTGCTACGCTTTCTGTTTGGAAAAAAAATGGTCATTTCAAATGGAGAAAACCAGAAAAGATAAGGGAAATTGGTGTGAGAGAGCTTGGAGCGTGTATCTGCTGGGATTGCATTGCAAGCCTTATGTTTGCAGCATTTTTCCTGGAAATATTTGTGTGAATCTCAGCTTTCCTTTAAAGAGTCACTAGCTGACTGGGGAAAATATGACCAGAGCCTGTATAAAAAGTTTCAGTGTCTAGAAAGCAATAAGCTAAATATATCTATATTTAAAAGAGCCCTACGATATTTAAGGCAAACTTGTGATATTTTTACAGACCCTGACTCATGGTTTCTGCCTCCTGGGGCTGAAGGCAGCAGTAATTCTGCAGCCAGGAACAGCTCTCCAAGAAGGAAGGTGTCTTAATGCTTTAGAAAGGGCAATACAGGGAAATAGTTCCACCCGTATTGCTGTGGGCTCTGTTAGTACAGCTGCAAATCTGAGATTCTTTATTAGCAGCAGACTGCTTTGGACCTTATTTCTGGATGAGTTTTTCTTGCTACGGAGAGCATTTGATGAACAGTGTACTATAAAGCCAGAAAAATTATGTGGCTGAGATCATGGCATCAAGTGCTGAGAACTTACTCCTCTTATCTGTTTTAGCCCTGCTGCAAAAATAACCCTTCTCAGGGATCACTTCAGGGGTTTTGAACCACTTAGAGCTTGCAGCAAAAGTTGCTTTTCATTTTACTCAGTCCCTTGCACAACCGAGTTAACATTTTCAGAGCAGCCTCTTTCTCTGCCCCTTGAATTTCTGTCGGAGCTGCTCACTGCACCCATCACAGAGCCAGCCTGGGGGGATCCCAGGGCAGCTCTGCCCCCTGTGCTGGCCCCATGGGCCCTCCCCACTGTGCCCACAGTGCTGGCAGGGCGGAGGGGACTGTGGCCACCCCCGGGCTGTGCCCCTGGCTGTGACTCAGCTCCCTGGCATCAGTCCTGCTGCTGCCATGGCAGGCTCCCTCTCCTCTGTGCTCCTCTTTCCACTTGCTCCTTACTTTGCCCTGCTCCTTTCTCCTTTTATCTATTTACAGGTTTATTATTTTTTTTATTTTTATTCGCAGTTTTATTATTTATTCATTTATTTTATTGCTTCTCGCTGCACTCCTGCCTCCCCCTCAGGAATGCCTCCACCCTGCCCCAGTCATTTTGGGGTGTTGAGGGGGGTGAGTGGGGCTCCTCTCCTGGCATTGGCTGGTGCCAAAATCCTCCTTTCAGCAGCGAGGCTTCCTACTCCAAATGGGCAGATTTGGGATGCCCTTCACTGAAAACACCACACCTGCTCACCAGGAGAGACCTCTGGCTTCAACTGAGCAACCAAAACCTTCTCTGCCCCCTTGGGACACCAGAGCTGAAAGCTTTGCTTCCACCATCAGACGTTTCCAGGTGCTTCCCCAGAGCTGGGAAAGGGAAAGGCTTGCACCTCAGAGGCTCTGAGCAGCCCTGCTGTGGGAACTCAGCACATCGCTCCCGATGTCCAGAGATGCCAGGAGAACCCTTGGGGGTCTCGGAAATCCTGGAATGTTGCCAAGAGTGTTTGGTGGCTTGATTTTGATCCATCCACAGAAGTGACAGCAGTTTGAGGACATGAGAATCACTTTAGGGTGAAGGGTGTAAAAGGGACACATTTAGAGGGTGAAATATAGACTTTAAGGTTTTTGGTACAGGGGGGTTGTGGAGACAAGATGGAGGGATCAGGGCGTGTCTCGTCCTTCTTCTTTCTTCTTCTTGTCTTCCATCTCCTGTGGTGATGTTGGCACTTGGGGATTGGTTTATAGTGAAAGTGCACTTGCCAACATGGGTGAAAAGTATTGGAAAATAAAGGTAAATATCATGTACGTAGATTTTAGTATAAAAAGACATGACCGCCCCCTGAGAGTCAGAGTGCCCTTGGCTGCCTTGCAGATCAGACCTCTGTTGGGCAGACAGAAAATTTTGTAGATAAGAAACAATAAATCATCTGAAGACCGAAAAGCTGAAGAGTCCAGACTCGTCCTTTGAAACACGGGCTGCCCCAGAACCACCCTACCCGTGTCGGGCAGAGACAGACAGACAGACAGACCCGACACCCGTGCCAGCCCCACTGGGATTGCTGCATTTGTTCCCCTTTCCCAGTGACCCGTGGCACAGATGGGATCAGGGGTTAAACTGGGACTGTGGTGGAAAAGGGCCCGGGAGCCCGGGGCTAGTGCAACTTAACAAGTGATTATAGGGTCTGAAGGGAAAGGGAAGCCCTGCCTGTCAGGAAGCTGCTGCTGAAGAAAACATCCCTTTGTGCTGGGGAGATGGAGAATGGGACAGAGCAGAGGGAAACAGATTGATAACCAGGGGGTGATGTGACCCCACATAGGCTCCCACAACAAAAGCCCCTTCATCTAAAATGAATGGGAACAATGGCTAACGGGGACAGGCCAGCAGTGGCCACGGATCTGAGAGCCAGGGGAGAGGGAGGAGGCAATGACAGCTCCTGTTCCACCCAAATCCTCCATTGATCCCAATAATCTCCTGGGCTTTCCCCCCCTTGAAATCAGACAGAAAGTTCAAGGGCTTTTTGCTTTCAGATTGTAGGAACAGACATTGTTCTGGAGAGCCATTGAGGTGTGCGGGGAGAGCCCTGGGGCAGGCTGAGGCCAGGGAGGAGCTGCTGCTGCTGTGCCCTGCCATGTCCCAAACCCTGGGAGGAGCTGCTGCTGTGCCCTGCCGTGTCCCCAGCCCAGGGAGGAGCTGCTGCTGCTGTGCCCTGCCATGTCCCAAACCCTGGGAGCCGCTGCTGCTGTCCCCTGCCATGTCCCAAACCCTGGGAGGAGCTGCTGCTGTGCCCTGCCATGTCCCAAACCCTGGGAGGAGCTGCTGCTGTGCCCTGCCGTGTCCCCAGCCCAGGGAGCCGCTGCTGCTGTGCCCTGC